TGGTGCCTTTCGTGCTGAAAACCCTCACATAGCCGACTTCGAAGTAGGCATTATTGTAGTCGGTACCATTACCCATGACCCAGTTGTTGTAGCAAATCCCTGAGCATGTGCTGTTCCATGTAGCACCATTGGCTGTGAAACTGTCTTAGCATCCTGCACCCCCTTTGCTCGCAAAGTCTGCTTACCCCAGTCTATTCATTGGGAAGAATTAACAAGAGCCGAATGTTAGCTCAATCCTCGAGTCTTTATATGATTGACGTACCTCCGCAAAGGGTAATATCGAAAATCAAGTGCTGGGGCTGGAAGTACTGCGCAATGTTGCAACCCGTAGAAGGCCAGTTAGCAACAGGAATACCAAAGGTCGAGGTATCAATCGTGCTTCCGTTATTCGACAGTGAGCTGGGTATTTTGGACCTCTACAAAGTTGTTTTAGTACTTGGCAATGCTCATCATTCGTACAGTAACTTACCGGGAAGAACCAAATGCTAAATGACACAAAAAGTTATTGATGCAGTCTAACAGAGATCAAAAGGCAATTATTGTACCTTATACCAGTGGAAGCCATTTCTGTCACAAAAGATCCTCCTCCACTGCTCGCAAAACCAGCACCGTAGGAAGCAGTCGACGGGTCTGTAACAATACAACCTTGGTCCGAGTTCGCGGCATACGAACAGTTTGTGCTGGCAACCAGAGTTGAAGTTTGATTTTGGGAAACCGCCGTGCACCCCTGTAAAATGACAAGTCAGTGTGAGAGGACAAGCAATTCAGAGTAGCACCAGTTCACGAACAGTTTCAGTGTGCAAGGACATTTGGTTTTGGGTATTGGTATTGATGCCCTCAAAAGTATCGATCTCGCCACCCTGCGGCCAGAGAGCTGCTTGACTATCATGATTCGTCAGCTTTCAAGTAGCATCTAAAGAGTGCAATGCTCGAGAGAGAGAGACTCACCTCCACCACGCCGGCCACACGGAGCACTGAATCAGAGACAAACTTTAGCGCGCAGGCATCTTGGCACAAAATTAGTGGACGCACACCATAAGGCGCGTGATATATATCAGCTACCCACAAGCTTCCCACTGTGAAGGAGTCGTTGCTTGCAATCCTGACGGAGTTGCGTTTGTTGTCATAAACCACCTGATAGGAGCTGTTAGTGAAGACGAGATATCTTGCAGAACAACTTACAGTGGAAGTGTTATCCACTTTGATGATGGCATGGTTCGTTGAAGCATCTACGTACGCCAATTTATATGCAGCTGCGTTCTGAGCCGAAACATAACTGCCATGAAAATCTTAGATCGCAAATGCAAAAAGGACACTTTTGTACTCACGTAACATCTCCATTCGTCAAATTATCGTCTGCAAAAAAAACAAAAGTGAGCTCGAGACATGGCGGATTTGAAACAAACTACAAACAATAATTATAGAAAGTCCACTCGTTAAAGAAGCTAGAACCATAGTACTCTTTGACCATAGAGTACGTTGTGGCAGTCACCGGCGCGACGGAGAATGCTAAGCAGGCCAGCGCCGTCACCATCATAGAATGAGCAGATACCATGGTACTCGAGGGAAAGAGGGCAAGTTGCATGACCCCATGTGCGGGAGTTCGTAATAAATACATCGGGCCCGCAACTGCGCGACCATGCGGTTCTTCTCTGCTAATTGTAAGTGGGGTGCAGATTCCATTTACAATAGCTTCCGCAGTTGTGCCTGATACGGCAATCATCTTTCTGATCCGAGAGAAATACTGGACAGCTGTCGGCCGTTCGGCAGCTTAGACATGGATAGCATCATTAATATTCCTGAGCGTTGGAGTCTCGAGAGGTGCGGACAGAAATCTAAAACAGTTGGCCATGACTGCGGATTTGAAGATCCGGCTGAGCAACCTGGAACAACGTTGCGCATGCTGTGCTTATAAACCTGTAACAAGGTTTCAAGCTGACTTCCACACTGTCCGGACTCCGCTTCAATCGATTATCCACTTGAAGTTGTAGCCCATGATATCAGTAGGAACTGGTCCAGTGACTACAGCTACATGGTAATTAAATTCGGAATGACTCAGATTGATGTGCGATCATGGAACCTCATGGGACTTCATCACGGGGAATTGGAAGGAGCAGGGAGGACGCTGGACAGACGGCGACTCGAATTTGAATTTGACATAACCCTAACCTTACGTTCGCGAAAGTCCGTTTTTGTTACAATTTTTCTGTTCATGGGGTCGCAACTTACCAACTGTCTATGGAGGTATCGTGATGGTCTTCTATGCTTTGTGGGCTGTCGTGCAATCATTATGTATTCAAACAGGTTGTAAATGCCCGGTCGGCACTCTTATCAAACTTTGAGGTCTTGAACCTTCTTCGCGAGCTAGATGCGGAACACATTGCCCGCACAAAAACTGCCATCCGCGTCAAAAAGGAAGAAGAGGCTACGGGAAAGAACTCGCATGACTCCCAGACTGAAGAAATAAGCGAGAACCTTCGCACAGTCGAGCTGGAAGCTATTCAATACCTATCTGCGGACTACCAGCCGACCCTCCACCAATCAGACGCGAGCATCACGCAGCTTGTGCGTGGCCTTCAGCCGTTCGGATTGTCGAAAGCAGAAAAGCTTCAGATAGTCAACCTGGCTCCAACTGAGCCTGTAGAGCTATATGTCGTATGTGCGGGTCTGCGTATGCATCATGCCAAAATGGACTGAACGCCGCCATTCAGATCGTCGAGGAACTCGAAGATCGACTAGGGAACCGAATGGATGACCTTCTTGTTGCAGTATCCAAGTCATTACACGAAAGCGCTCCTGCACATCCGAATGGGACTATGGCTGTACCCGAAGACAAACAGACGCGTAGTGAAGTTGCAGTGGAGGTCTACGAAGAAGCAGATCAAGAGACTTGGGAATATGATGCAAATGCAATGGAGTTCGATGATATGGGAGAGGGAGCTGGCGTCGAAGGCGACCTTGACGTTGATGATGATTGAGGATGCTGTGATTCAAGGGATGCATATACGTGCCAAGTGCAAGAGCCCGTAGGTCATCCTCAGCTGCTGTGTAAGTGACGGACGCTCCTACTCAATTAAACAGACGTCTCTCTGACAACTTTTGGATGTGCCTGCTGTCACGAAGGCTAAGGGAAAACACCATCGTGAGGCAAAGTACATCTCTGTCGCTCAGTTTCACAGATTTTCAACACGGGGTAGTATTCCTACTGTACTTCATTTCCATCACGCATAATGAATGGAAAATCTCGACTGTTTCAGCGTTACTCCGGTTGCCTTTGCCCCTGACTAATTGCTCCAAGTTGAAAACGTGATTATTCCCCAAATGATAAACAACTATCTTGAAAGAAAGGATCACTGTCTTCCTTCTTCAAGGTCTGACTACGGGAAACGCAACTATGGGTATCTTGCTACTATTCGCGCCTGCGATTTATCAATATCCGCAACAAAAAAAGAACCCGCATATACACTAATACTTCTTGGCATCACAGAAAAAAAATCAGATGTCCTTGACCTGCTCTTCAAGCCATTCCCATAGAGCCTCGCCTACCTTGGGATCCCGAGCATCCTTGCGAGTTGGACCAACCCTGGCCCAAGGAACGAGATACTACACGAAAGAGCGAGGGGCGTTAGCGTCTCTTTGCGAATGCCATTCACTAGAGAAATTACCTTGCCGTTCAACTCTACCGCTTCTGGAGCAGTTCCGGCATAGAGTTGGGTTAGTGCTCCATGTTCAACGTCGTAGAGGAACAAGTTCTACATCATACTCATCAGCATTCAGCTAGCAGCTGCATGTAGAACATTTGCGAACCAAAATACTACGTAGAAAGGACGGCATGTGGCGTGCCAGGTCTGTTCTGATGTTACCTGGGTTCAGAGGTATGGAAACAATGCCCTCTGAACTGTAGCGCCTTGCGAGTTCAAATGCTTGTACAACGTTGCCCTGTCGGCGAGTCAGTAGAAGCTAACGCAAAATAACAGTCAACTTGCGGTTTTGCTCTGCCCATAAAGTTGAGCAGTAGACATCTTCTTGCGGGCAGGACTATCTTTGAACGCGGAAAAGGTGAGACCCTGCAGGACATGTGCCGAGGACGAAGTTGTAATAACACGAGCTTTGCCATCAGGCGCAGATTTCGCGGTAGCGATGAGGGTGGGCAATAGCAGCTTAGTGAAGTAGAAGTGCCCTGCAGACAAATTAGAGTTTTGTGGCAAAAATATAATTGTCATACCAAGGACATTTGTTCCAAATTGAATATCATATCCGTCCGCAGTTAACCAGTCTTTTGGAGGGAACATGACTCCCCTTATGCACCGATATGAGCATATTCAAACCACGGCATTCAGTGCATGCTGTGCACTCACGCGCTATTGAATAGGACATCCAACTTAGTCTCTTTGCTGTTGATAGCGTCAAAAGAAGCCCCTGTGGCGTTGCGGCGGAAGAGACAAACCTGAGGTATTCTTCTGCGGAAGCTTTCACAGACTTCAAGTCTGCGAGATCAAGTTTTAGAAAGAGGGCCTCCTTCCCAGTGCTGTTTTTCAGATCTTTGATGGCTACCTCTGCCTTCTCTTGGCTTCTGGCAGCTACATATACCTTGGCATTGTGGGCTAACAAGGCCTTCCACTCTATGGTCAGCAGCATGAAGTATCTAGAGCCCACCCCTCATTACTCACCTTTGCTGTCTCTTTACCAATCCCAGTATTAGCTCCAGTGACGATTATGACCTTCCCCGTCAGGTCGGGGATGTCGTCAACACGAAATTGCGACTTGGACGGGAATGATTGACCCAGTAGAGACAGGTGATTGCCCATGGCAGTAACAGGCAGTCGCAGTCTCAGAAAGTGTTCAAAGTGACACTCTAGCCTTCCGTAACGATAGCCGGGCCCAAATACTTATAGTACAGCGTGTGTGAAGACTTCCACGCTGGTGAGAGACCGTAGAGTTTTCATCCAGTATGCCATTCGACGTTCACTCGTGGATAGACCATCCGACGTCAGTCTTAACAAGTGATAGCCGAGTGGTTACCGCAACAGATTAGAAATCTGTTCCTCTTGAGCAGTGTGCGCAGGTTCTAAACCTGTTGACATGAGCTTTTTCTGTTACATAGCATATTTAGCACATCTTCCACTTCATTCATGAAGAGATCCTCAGCTGGGGCCTGTCTTAACTAATCTTAGCCAAGTGGTTACCGTGACAGAGTAGAAATCTGTTGCGACTAGACAAGTTTGAAACCTGTTACCAACAGTTTTTTTTTCTGTCATGACTGAATGGTAAGTAGAGTATCTGTCTTCCCTGCTACAAACCCCGGAGTTAGGGATTGGTATCGCAATGCATGGAGTAATGCTAGTTGAAGCGCCGTTCTGAGCAACACCACTCACAGTTCAACGCAACTGGGTCCGACGGAAATACATTCATTTGGATGAACATCGGCGGCATCTACATGACCTGGCGTGGGCGCAGATGAGCTGTAATTCAATACACCACATTCATCAGCCGCATGCCCCGACTGAGTGCGCGGTTGTCTGCATGAATGACAGGCCTATCTGCAAGACATCAGCCCCCAGCGATCCGGACTATTTGGAAGCCACGAAGCGCATGGTCACTTTGAGGTTTGTGAAGAAAGATAGGCACGTTCGAGAGATAGTTGGCTGGGGCGAAGCGGATCTATACTCTGTCGGATACATGTTAACGGGTGTAGTGTGGCACGATTTCAAGTACGATACCATTGGGGGCGACGTGTGTTCCGTCCGCTGTAGAATGATGATTGGGACTGATGGAATGTGACTCATGATCAGAAACAAGGCCTGGGCGCTTCAGCTGCACAGCATATATGGTGTAAGCTGGGAAGCGAACACGAGGATAACACATGTAACACGTACCAGCTCAAACTTCCAGTGCACTTTTGATCTAAACGCCTTGTGTCTTTGTGCCGATACGTCGAGACCTGCTAAGGAACATATCGTCGTAAGTGATGATTTTGAACTTTGTCACATCAAGCTGAGACGAAGCTGCACCTAGTAGTTGGTTATGTCTTCACCCATCATTGGAAGGCAGGAGACATCAGTGATCACATCCCGCCAGAAATTTAAGGGACATACCGATTCGGTCTTTGGCGCTCTACACCTGCCAGGCGGTCAACGGATGATGACTTGTTCAGAGGATGGCTCGCTGCGGGTATGGAACGTGAAGAGCGGAAAACAGATAGGAGACGACTGGCGGGATGGAGAAAGTCCAGTGTGGACCATAGCGTTGTCTCCGGACGGGAAGAAAGTGGTTAGCGGGAGCGAGGACGGCGGAGTGAGGTTATGGAACATCGATACAGGCAAAGTCATCGCGAAATGGTTGGGGCATACAAAAGGAGTGTGGCATGTCTGCTGGAGTCGAGATGGTCAGCGAGTCTTGAGCGGATCTGATGATGGGACTGTAAGAGAGTGGGATGTGGAGAACGGAGAGACAATCCTCGCACCAGTCAAGACAGGACACACAAATGTGTACACAACCGTCTACTCGCCAGACACGACCATGTTTGCGACTGGTGGGTACGAGTCCCCAAATCCCGGATATGACAAGTCCTCAGCTGTAAAGATCTGGGATGCGAGGACTGGCGAGCTTGTCGCCACTCTAAAAGGACACACAAATTCGGTGTTGTGCCTGGCTTGGAGCACGGATGGAAAAACGCTTATATCTGGGTCAACTGATCATTCAATTAGGACATGGGATACAACATCCTGGAAACAGATCGCAGCTGTGTTGGAAGCGCACATCAATGGTGTCTTTGCCATTGCAATATCTTCGAATGGCCGCATCCTCGCAAGCGCATCTTTCGATAACACAGCCCAATTATGGAACCTCGACAACAACCAGCCCATCAATTCGCCCCTCCTTCATCCAGATAGTGTGTTTTCTGTGTCATTTTCGGCAGATGGAAAGCTATTAGCCACTAGTTGCGAGGACCAAAACGCCTATACGTGGGATGTTTGTACGATAGTAAAAGAAGCTGGCCTTGACGACCTTCTGCCCGAGTCAGACAAGTCGGTACGTATACTCGCTGTACAGGACACTTTCATAAACAGATCTCATTGTATTTAAACATATACATTCTAGGCTAATGCAATACGACATCCTGTCCGTCAGCCAATCAAGGTCTCCAATCGGATGCTCCAAGGATTTTTCGATGACACACCACATCGTGCTCACGTACGTCGCTCAAGCGCTCATCTACACGGTGCTATTTTTCCTGATCTTGATGATGTTCTCAGCTTTCTACCCGACCTGATGCCCACGATGCGCTATCCCGACCGAGCATTTTTCACTGGGCCCGAAACCTTTTGTCTGCCAGACCACGCGATGCACCGATCGAGCTGCGTCACTCAGCAGACGTTTACGTTCCGTATGCCAAGGGCAAACGCGTATGTTATTTTATTCTCTGATATTCGAACACCATCTCATATCACACAGAGGAACGCTTCAGCAAGAGAGAAACGCAGGCCGATCCCGAAAAAGGCTGTGACGAGCAATTCACGCCCTCTCAACGTCACGCAGCAACCCAGCCGCGCGGCCGCGCGGCTCAGGCCCAGTCATCTTCGCAACCACAGGGCTCTATCTCTACGTCATCACCCACACCTGCGGTTGTCGCTACTCCCGAAGCTACAGCCAGCACTAATCCTCATGTAACGATAAAACATGCTGGACGCTGGACTCGCTTCTGGCTCTTTATCTGTTGCGCTTCTATTGAGTACACCGACGGTCATCACTAATCTATTTTCCTAGTCCTTTACTAAGGTCTCATCTATCTCATCTCATCCCTCGAGCATTGGAAACACAAACATACAGTCGTTTATCGATACCCCGTTATTTGTAGTTGACGAAAAGGCTCGAACGTCATCACGATACCAAACTTTGGATATAGAAGTATACAGTTGACCGTACCCAAATCATCTTGCAAGGGCAGTACGTGGATAATGAATTCCTAGAAGGTCCATCTTGTGCAGGTTCGAAAATGAATGACAAAATTTTCTCTGTAACTTCTTCCCAGTTTCCGGCCATCTGACATTGCGTCTCAATGATGCATGATAATGTCTTTGATGACTCTGTCTTCACACTTTCGGTCAGGCCATCATGGAAATGTCGCTCCTCTCGAAATCCCATGACAGTGCATGTACATATGATTGAGTCGCAAGCCAACATCCACATTCACGCATAGTGGGGACCACTCCTCATAGCTCCCTGTGCGTTGCCGAACGTTATATTCGATAAAGTCTACCCAAATCAGACGTGAACGATACGCATAATATATGATTCATGCATTGCTTTAGGTAGCCGTAGATATCGTATGGGGTGCAAACTGTAAATCAGAAAGACAAAAGCTATCTTCTTTAATCTGGTCTGCATCGCGCAGATCAAAAAGAATACGCGAAGCTATAACACCATGAAGGACGCCTTGAAACCTGATCACGACAGTTGAGCAGTCAACCAAAATATGAGAGGCATCAACTTACACATCGATGATGCCATTATACCCGCCTGAGACCTGCGCCGATGAATAGTCCATGCCTAACCATGGTAGAGTGCATAGAAACTACGTACCGGCAAGGAGAAAGTGACAATGTTTGCAATAGAGATTGCTTTGAGCGCAGTCAGATGACATGGAAAGGAATTCATAAACACACGATTGACATACCAAAAAGTGACAGCGCATATAGCAAACTCCCCTTGGATAAGGTCGAGGCCAGTGTATAGAGGGTGTACATGTCATCAGAGCGTAATAGCATTGAATGATATATTGTAATAGCGGCCACCGCTGCACGTATTTCATCAGCAGATTCAAAGGAAAGCAGCATCCTGAATCACTCACTGAATTCAAACAACGCCGTGCTAATAAATCCCCCCATTATCAAGCGTTCCAGTCTCGTGACGGCTTCTAGATCGCTCTGAGTTGATGTTGGCACACATGCGCTGTTAAGCAAAGGAACCGTAATTGCACTGCAAGTGACTGCGGAGATGGCAGTAACCTTCAAGCTCCATTGAATCATTTCTCGGTACAAAACTGGCGAAACAATACCAAGTAGCTTGCCAATAAAAATCGCCTTATCTTCTTATTGTTGTGCCATAAGGCAAGTGTACGCATGAGCAGCAAACCTGAAACATATAAATCATAGATTCTTTCGTTATAAATGCAAAAGCTAACCTTCAGTAGCCAGCAAGATGAGAACCAGGGACACTGAGGAGTGTTAGGTGATGTGGAACTAGTAATCGTGAGGTTACATACCGCCGCTGACCCGATATGTTATCAAGCACTGTGTTACCTGGCATCAACGTGCCCGAGCATGGTTAAGAAAGAGTTAATACCGTTTGTGGTGATTGCGTCCCAAGAGTAACTGGCAGACCATTAAGAATATGTTTCCCAATCAAAAAATAGTGCAAGTTGCTCACCGTATATTTCGCTGATAATCCATGCTATTGGAACATATCTACCTACAATGAACATGACAGTCGCAATGCCCCAACGGCCCATGCTACTGAACATATGGACTTCGTGTTCGAGGGTCAAACAATAATCAAGTGCCTTGTGATGGGGATGAGGTCTCGCATGGATCGCAAAATGAGTACACGCTTAACTCACCCAAATAGCGGCCGGTGCAACTTTACTAGAGATGTGAGCAAACTATAATGAGAATTGGAGACCAACGACAAACCTCGAAGGTACTGTCAACAAGCATGAGAGTCGGTTCAAAAAAAAGGGTGACATGCAGCTCGTACCTTGATCGTCTGTTGTGTGTGCAATAAAACCATATGGTGCTCGTGTTACTGTGGAGTGCGTGTGCGTTACAATTTCACCACTGGGTAGGCGATCGTGGAAAGGAGAAGTCTTTGTGAGGGAGTGTTGTGAGTTGGGATAGAAATATGCTGCCCGACTCCCAGAAGAAGCACCAGTCTTTTGGGCGGCGATCATTGGGCGATGGGGAGATCATTCGAGTGTTGCCCTGCGTTACTACTTGCTGGAGTCACTTAGAATCACTGAAATTTAATGCACTGCACGTAAAGTGTCTATACTTGCTACCCTGCGGTTTTTTCGCGAGTAACTCCCAT